TTATATTTTATGTTACAGAAACACCATTTCTAAATGCAAAGAAGGATTTTTATAATGTAGAATAAAATAAGTGTTAATAAAGGCAAGGCAGAATGATTGGGTACCACAGCACAATTAATTTTGAGAGGAAATAATTCGGCTGGAGGAAGGGCACAAGGAGGGAGCATTTCAGTGGTCTCTGGGTGACCAGCAGGGCTGTGAAAGGCGGGGAAGGAGAGGCATGCCTGCCTGAGACAACTACTGATACTTGAGCAGAAAGAGGCTCAACGGAGCCTTGACGGTGGTTGGTGTGTTTGGGCTGCTGTGTCTGCGCCTAGGGTAGTGGGCACACATTTGTCTGAGATGTCCCTGAAGGATCTCTAGGATAACTCTCTAGGCAGTCCCAGAGAACACTGCTTTTCCTATAGAAATGGTGCTGTTCTGGAAAGGAGGTGTTTTAGAGGGTCGGAACCATGTCAGATGGTGGAGTATCACAGACCCAGCATGAGGGCTGAAACAATGAGCTTTGCATTAAGACCTGGGTGGAAATTTGCTTCCACCACTATCTATGACCTTAGGAAAGGTATTTCATTTTTCTGAGTCTTAGTTTCCTCATCTAAGGAAATGAAGATTTGAATCAATCTCCTAAATTTCCAGGGAGGTGTGGACTTGATTCCCTCACCCGTGATTCTTGGGAACCGATCTAGTGTAAGCGATGGCTTGGTTCAATGTGCTCTTCCTTCCAGCTGGTTCCACCTCTGCCAGGTCTTCACTTCAGTCTCACATCACTTACATAGGTGTAGAAGTTTGTAAACAACAACAAACAACAATACAGTGGGCTACTTGTAGGTAACAGTAGCAGAAAGAACAAGGGTTTGGAATCCCACTTCTGAGATGTCATCATCAATGTGTTGGGAGAGACACTGACCCTCTCTGAGCCTCAGTGTCTTCATTTTAAAATGGGAATGATACCATTAATAATACTACCTTTGCTGTGCAACTGTGAAGGTTGAATGGGATACTGTACACAAGGCACATAGTAAGCGGTCAGTGAGGGGCGGTTTCCTCCTCCTTAGCTCGCTCTTTCTGGCACTGGGAAGCCCCAGGCACAGCATGCTGGTTGGCCTTCTGTATACCCTTAGCATTCAGCTAAAAGGCAAGCGAACACAGAAAATCAATAATGTTTGTATTTAAATGTTGGCTTACAATAGCAGAAGATGTAAACAGGTGGAAAAACATACCATGCTCATGGGTCAGCAGAATCAACATTGTTAAAATGTCTATACTACCCAAAGTGACCTACAGAGTCAATGTAATCCCTATTAAAATACCATCATCATTTTTCACAGATATAGAAAAAATAATTTTACTCTTCGTATGGAACCAGAGTATACCCCATATAGCAAAATCGATCCTAGGCAATAAAAATATAATAGGAGGTATCAATCTACCAGACTTCAAACTATACTACAAGGCTACAGTAATTAAAACAGCTTGGGGCCGGGCGCGGTGGCTCACGCCTGTCGTCCTAGCTTTCTGGGAGGCCGAGACGGGCAGATAGCTGCTGCTTCAGGGGTTCGACACCAGCCTGAACACTGCCTGAGCACAGTCAGACCCCGTCTCTAAATCTAAAAAAAAAAAGTAAAAAAGGCAAAAAAAAGAAAAAAAAAACAGCTTGGGATTGGCACAAGAACAGGGACATTGACCAGTGTGGAACAGAACAGAGAACCCAGATATAAAACCATCCTCATATAGCCATCTAATCTTTGACAAAGCAGACAAAAACATACACTGGCGAAAAGAATCCTTATTCAATAAATGGTGCTGGCAAAACTGGATAGCCACATGCAGAAGACTAAAACAGGACCCACACCTTTCACCTCTCACAAAAATCAAGTCACGCTGGGTAACAGATTGAACCTTAGGTGTGAAACTATTAGAATTCTAGAGGAAAACATTGGAAATACTCTTCTAGACATTGGCCTAGGCAAATAATTTATGAAGAAGACCCCAAAGGCAATCACAGCAACAACAAAAATAAATAAATGGGACCTGATCGAATTAAAAAGCTTCTGCACGGCCAAAGAAACTGTCAAGAGAGCAAACAGACAACCCACAGAATGGGAGAAAATTTTCACAAGCTACACATCCAATAAAGGGCTGATAACTAGAATCAATTTAGAACTCAGGAAAATCAGCAAGAAAAAATCAAACAGCCCTATAAAAAAGTGGGCAAAGGACATGAACAGAAATTTTTCAAAAGAAGACAGAATAATGGCTAACAACCATATGAAAAAATGCTCAACATCTCTAATTATCAGGGAAATGCAAATCAAAACTGCAATGAGATATCACTTAACTTCAGTGAGAATGGCCTTTATCAAAAAGTCCCAAAACAATAAATGTTGGTGTGGATGTGGAGAGAGAGGAACACTCCTACACTGCTGGTGGGACTGCAAACTAGTTCAACCTCTGTGGAAAGCAATATGGAGATACCTTAAAGTCATACAAGTGAATCTACCATTTGATCCAGCAATCCCATTGCTGGGCATTTACGCAAAAGATCCAATGACACTTACAAAAAAAGACACCTGCACTCGAATGTTATAGCAGCACATTTCATAATTGCAAGGCTGTGGAAACAGCCCAAGTGCCCATCAATCCAAGAATGGATTAATAAAATGTGGTATATGTATACCATGGAGTACTATTCAGCTCTAAGAAACAATGGTGATATAGCACATCTTATATTTTCCTGGTTAGAGCTGGAACCCATACTACTAAGTGAAGTACCCCAAGAATGGAAAAACAAGCACCACATATATTCACCAGCAAACTGGTATTAACTGAGTAGCACCTAAGTGGACACATAGGTACTACAGTAATAGGGTATTGGGCAGAGGGGAGGGGGGCAGGTATATACATACATAATGAGTGAGATGTGCACCATCTGGGGGATGGTCATGCTGGAAACTCAGACTTGTGGGGGAGGGGGTATAGGGCATTTATTGAAACCTTAAAATCTGTACCCCCATAATATGCCGAAATAAAAAAAAAAGTCACTTTATGAAAAAGACACCTGCACTCGAATGTTTATAGCAGCACAATTCACAATTGCAAAGTTGTGGAAACAACCCAAGTGCCCATCAATACATGAGTGGATTAATAAACTGTGGTATATGTATACCATGGAGTACTACTCAGCTCTAAGAAACAATGGTGATACAGCACCTCTTGTATATTCCTAGATAGAGCTGGAACCCATTCTACTAAGTGAAGTATCTCAAGAATGGAAAAACAAGCACCACATGTACTCACCAGAAAATTGGTATTAACGGATCAACACCTAAGTGGACACATAGGAATAACATTTATCAGATGTTGGGCTGAGAGGGGGGAGGTGGAGGTGGGGATGGGTATACACAAACATAATGAGTGAGAAGTGCGACCTTCGGATACGGTCACGCTTGAAGCTCTGACTCGAGGTGGGAGAGAGGGCATGGGCAATATACGTAACCTTAACATTTGTACCCCCATAATATGCTGAAATAAAAAAAACTGAAACCTAAATAAAAAATAAATGTTGGTTTACAGGCCGGGTGTGGTGGCTCATGCCTGTAATCCTAGCACTCTGGGAGGCCGGGGCGGGAGGATCGTTTGAGCTCAGGAATTCCAGACCAGCCTAAGCAAGAGCGAGACCCCGTCTCTCTTATCAATAGAAAGAAATTAGCTGGACAACTAAAAATATATAGAAAAAATTAGCCGGGCATGGTGGCGCATGCCTGTAGTCCCAGCTACTTGGGAGGCTGAGGCAGGAGGATTGCTTGAGCCCAGGAGTTTGAGGTTGCTGCGAGCTAGGCTGACGCCACGGCACTGACTCTAGCCTGGGCAACAGAGCGAGACTGTCTCAAAAAAACATAATACATAAATAAATAAATGTTGGTTTACAGCTTTGTATTTTTCCATCTGCACATATACCACATACTCCCTCCCACATACATACACACCACACACACCATACACACATAACACATCTCACATTACACACACAACACACTACACGCAGAACAGACAACACACATATTACACACACTACACACACCACGTACACACATCACACATACACAGCACACACCACATACACCCAACACACATACCACACATATATACCACATACACACCACACACACTACACACACCACACATCACACATACCATCGCATCACACACATCACACACATAACACTACACACGCACTTTGTAAATCAAAATGGGACTGTATTAAGCCTGCTATTTTATAAACTGTGTGTTTCCACTTAACAGCTTTTCGGGATCTTAAATATTCTGTAGCATCATTTTTAATGGCTACATAGGATTTCAGTATATGAATGAACCATAATTTATGTAACCAACCCTCCATTTTTAAACATTATATTTTCCAAGTTTTCATTTTCTGAAAAATGTCTCCATGAATATTCTTGTATCTAAATCTTTAAGCACGTCCATGATTATTTTCTTAGAATAAACGCACAGAAATAGAATAGCTATTAAGGCATTAGATATCAAATGACAAATCACCATTCATACAGTTGGACTAATTTATATTCCCTTTAGCAGAGTGTGAGACTGCTAGTTTCTCTTACATCACAAATTAATACTATTATCATAGAAGCCCCCCAATTTCACCAAAGAAAAATGATATCCCTTTGTTCATATGTTGAAGCTCTGCCCCCCAGTGTGACTGTATTTGCAGATGGGGCCTGTAAAGAGGTGACAACGGTCAAATTAAGTCACAGGGCCACCTGCAAGCCAGGAAGAGAGCCCTCCCCAGAGCCCGGCCTTTTGCCACCTCACTCTCGTGTTATGGCAGTTTGAGCAGACTGATGCACCCCTCTAAAAACTTATATGTACTGAGGGGCTTTGTGTGTCAAAATGAATAAATAAAATACAATTTGCGTATGCTTGTCTGCTGGTTTTGCCTTGCTTGCCTTTTCCTATTTTTCTTGGTCATTTTTACTTACGACCGTGTTGCTGCGTGGACGGACTGGGCACATCTCCTCCCAGGCTGAGGCTGCGCGGCGCCCGACGAGGCCCAGCGTGAGCTGCGCGGCGCTTGCGCGGCACCCTGCGACATGCGCAGTGCGTCCCGCCTCAGCGCGGGCTTGCACCCAGGGCAGGGCGCGCGGCCTCCGGGCAGCGGCGTCGCCTTAGAGAAGGGCGCGCTCTGGGGCAGTGAGCGGTGTTTGCGTGGAGGAGCGCCATGGGCATGGAGGGAAGGGACCATGAGGACTAGGGGTGCCCGGTGGGCAGCTCCCGGAGGTTGGCCTGGCCTCAGTGAATCCAGAATACATAGGCTCTGCTTGGGAGGTGAAGTATGGTTCTGCCGAAGTATTATAATAGTAGGATCGTGGCCCTTTAGGGGTGTGGTCAGGAAATGTGATTTGGAGGCACCCCAGATGGACATCTGGGGTGCTCAGGTACTGTGTGAGTGCCTAGGCCAGGAAGAAGCTGCAACATGTGCTTCCGTCTTCACAGAGAAGGCCTTGTAGATCTCAAAGGAGGGCTGTTGGGGGTCTTGACCTGGTCCAGCTATTGTTGCTTGTGCTTCTATTCTTTGACCACAACTGCTAGGGCTCTCCCCCTTCCCTGAGACCCAGCCTGTAAGTGAGGGTGACAAGAGCAGAACACCTCTTTCACCTGCCTTTCCCTGCTCTCCCCAGCCCTCCAGTCTCTGTCTGTGTACCTGGGCTTTCAGCAGCAATTTCTGGTCCCCCTTGGGTTGGCAGCCTCTTTGTGCAAGGTGTCAGGTGGGACACAAGCTACTTGGGAAGAAAAATGCATTCTTACTGCTAATATCAGGAGTGTTAGAGGCAACAAGTACTTGTACTATGGAAGTTAAAAGGAAAGATGCTCACGTTACATAAATCCTATTATGAAAAGATATTTGGCGATTTTCAAGTTATATATTTGATGTGCTATCCTGTAGAGATGTGCTAACTACACAGACCTCATCTTTCCTTTTTTCTACTTGAAAAAATTGAATATAATTCACATACCATAGCATTCACCCTTTTGAAGGGTAAGTTCAGAGGTTTTAAGTATATTCACAGGTTGTACAACATGACTGCTATGTAATTATGTCACCCATAAGACACCCAGACTCATTAGCAGTCACTCTACATCCTTTCCCCCAGCACCCCGCAATCACTAGTCAACTTTCTGTCTATTCTGCCTATTCTGGACATTTCACATAAATGGAATCATACAATTTGCGGTCTTTTGTGTCTTGCTTCTTTCACTTAGCATAACGTTTTCAAGGTTCACCCACGTGGTGGCATGCATCAGTGCTTCTTTTCTTTCTGTGGCTGAACACTGTTCCATTGTGGGGATATACGTGTTTGTCAGTTGACAGGCATTTGGATTGATTCCCCTTTTTAGCTGTTTGAACAATGATAAGTTTCTGTGTGAACTATGTTTGCAATTCTCCTGGATATATAATTAGGAGTGGAATTTCTGGCTCATATGATGATTCCACATTTAACTTTTAAGGGACTAAGTTCTTTATATATTCTGAATACTAGACCCTTATCAGATACATGATTTGCCAATGTTTCCTTCCATTCTGTGAGTTCTCTTGTCACTTTCTTGATAGTGTCTTTTGAAGCACAAAAGTTTTAAATTTTGGTAAATGGCAATTTGTCTATTTTTCTCTTTGGTTGCTAGTACTTTCGGTGTCATATCTAAGAAACTATTGCCTAATCCAGTGGTGATATGTGCACCTTTGTTTTCTTCTAAGAGTTAACATTTAGGTCTTTCACCCATTTTGAGTAAATGTTTTTATATGGCGCGAGGAGAGATCTGACTTCATTCTTTACATGTGGGTATCTAGCAGTCCCAGTACCACTGATGGAAAAGACTATTGTTCCCTGCATTGAATTGTCTTGGTACCTCATTGACAATCAATTGACCATAAATATATGGGTTTATTTCTGGATTCTCAATGCCATCCCGTTGATCTATATGTCTAGTATCACGCAGTCTTAATTACTGTAAATTTGTAGTAAGTTTTGAAATCAGGAGTGTGAGTCCTCAAACTTGTTCTTCTTTTTCAAGATTATTTTGGCTATTCTAAGTCCTTTGCATTTCCTTATGAATTTTAGAATCAGCTTATCAACTTCTGCAATAAATTTCTCTTTTTTTTTTTTGCAGCCGGAATTTTGATAGAGATTATGTTGAATGGTAAGTATTGCCATCTTTACAATACTAAGTATTTCAATTCATAAACACAGTTGTCTTCCTATATTTCAGGTTTTCTTTAATTTTTGTCCATGGTGCTTTATAGCTTTTAGTGTATGTCTTGCATTTCTTTTATTAAATGTATTCTTGAGTATTTTGGTCTTTTGATGTTACTGTGCATGGAGTGTTTTTCTGTATTTTATTTTTGGCTTCTTCATTGCTTGTCTTTTCCAGCTCGCAGGACCGGCTGCATCCTTGGCTCAAGGCCCTTCCTTCAAAGACCAGCAGCAGCAGATCCTCCTAAGTCACACCTCCCTGACCTTTCTCCCATCCTTGAATCCCTCTCTCTCAGCCAGAAACGTGCTCTTCTTAAGGATTCATGAGACAAGACTGAATTCACCTGGATAACCCGGCTATGCTCCCCATCTTAAGTGCACATACCCTTTGTCACACTTGCGTGTGAGCTAACAGAGTCACAGGCTCTGCGGACTGGGGCTTAGACATCTCTGGTTGGCTGTTGTTCAGTAGATCACAGAGAGCAAGGAGTTGGAGATGTAGGGAAGCACATGCAGTCCTTGGATGTTCTGGTATCCAGTCCAGCCCTGGCATGAGCGGGGAACTGAGTCCAAGGCACTAAATTTACTCTCCCGCTTTACTTAGTTATAAAATGATAAAACCACCTGCATCTCAGGGTGGTTGGGAGAATTAAAAAGACCAAGTCTTAGAAGGCATCTGGCCAGTGTGTGGGCCAAGTCATGTATTCCATAAAGGCTTCTTGAACCTACAGGAATAACATATGAGAGAGCTCTCTGAAAACCACAAACACAAGGCAAATCTAAGTTATTAATATTATAGCAAACTTGGACTGGCCTAATGGGTAAAGAAGAATACTGATTTAGGATTTTCAAAAGGATAGTTGCTTTACAAGCTATTTGATTTACCTTTTGAAATGCAGTAAATTTAGAAAGATCAAGTGATTAATCTCACTTTAGAAAACTCATTAAAACTATGTTTAAAATAACGAAATTTCAGTTTTTTGATCCCTCCTGTTACCTCTGCAGGTGGTACCGTTTCTGGAGGTAGGAGCCACGTTGAGGCTTGGCGCTGTGCCATGTTTCTAATTGGACACCTTGTTGAATGCTAATTGGAAAATGTCTTCACTCCCTGCCGGGTGTCCCCAGGAGGCCCCTCCACAGGGAGAGCAATAGCTTTGGTGGTGGAGTCACTTGCCAGCGGGACCTCGGCCCACATGTTGGCCTCATGGCCAGCAGTTGCCTCTTCTCTCTGGAGCTGACTGCTCCCTCTGTGACAATTCCATGCAGGAGGATGGAACAGAGCAGAGGTATTCAGCACCTGTGCCTGGCTGCTGTGGTCTCCCTTCCTCTGTCCTCATTCTTCCCCAGATGGCCTCTGATGGCAATTTGGTGCCACCAACCATTGTCTAGAAATTACATATTTTCTCTTTTGAGATGTCAAAATGAACACACACATATACACCCACCCACATGCATGAGAATCTACATGTGCACACTCACGCTTGTATGTAAACACACCTGCTCACTCACCCACATGCTCACACACACACTCACATACACGTGCACACACACATGCTCACACACACACTCACATACACGTGCACGCACACATGCTCACACACGAAGAGCAATGCCAGGCCTCAGCCCCAGAGATTCTGATTTAATTGGTTGGAGTGAGGCCTGGGTATTACTATTTTTTAAAACTATACACAAACACACATACACACACACCTCAAAATTGGGAACACAAAGTCCTGGCAGACACTCCGTCAAATGCAGAACGACAAGCAGCATTTCACATTGTTCCCAGATGCTTTTCGGAACCGACTGACAGGGAAGCATTCTGCCAGCTGTGGAACCCACAATCTACAGAAGTTTGTTCCAGGTTGTGGCAGCCTCCCAGGATCCCACTTGACTGTGTGCGTGATGCAATTTTTGTGAATTGAATTTATAACGGCAGGAGTTGCTCCAGCTCAGAGCGTGGGTGTCCCGAGTCTTCCTTGGCCCCATGTGTGGTCCCCACCTCCCCTCTCTCTGCCTGGTGGCTGCCCTTGGGTGGGCTCACCCACAGGAGGGCTGGGGGGTGGGACAGGTCAGGCCGACTCCAGCAGGCTGGGTCCTTCTGCTCCTGGCAGGGTGGCCTTGCTACAGAGTCCTCCACCCATGGCCCGGGTGGTCACGACTGCACAGTTACTAGTCCCAGGGTTCTGCACCAGCTCGTGAGGCCCTCCAGGCCGTATTTGTGGATATTCTCTTTATTAGAGCCCGCTCTGACCCCCCAGTGGAGGGGGACTCATCCCCCTGTGCGGGGCCGCGGGGCCACGCGACTGCCTGAGATGCAGGGTGGCTGCCCTGGCTCTGAGACCCCCAGCGGGCTGTGCAGGAGCCCAGCTGGACCCACGGGAAGGCTGAGAGCCACTCAGGGCATGGGGCGTGGCGGGGAGCTGGCAGCACAGGTGTGGATCTTGAGGAGGACAACAGTTAAAATGATGGGGCATGTTCTGAAATGCACGGAGAACGCTGAAAACATGGTGCAGAAAGGGGGAACCACTGAGAGAAAGCCCAGAGCCATTTATTTATGTGCATACGCACACAAACCACACACACCAGACACCCACCAACACACCCACACACACAACAAAACATGCAGCACATACTCCCCCAACACAGCACATAGTCACACACGCCATACACACACCACGTAAACATACAACACACACACACCACCATACACAACCCATACTTCCTTATACACCCCCCCACACACACACACATGCAACACGAAGGCACACCACGCAGCCATGGGGCAAGCACATCTAAGCCTAAAACACGCCACTGGAGGAGGAGCCTGCAGGGGGGGCAGGGAGGAGGCGACAAGGGCGAGTGGCTCTGAGGGGAGCGTGGGAAACAGCGAGCTTCCGCACAGACTGACGCTAAGTATAACTTACGCCCTGAGCTGTAGGACGAGCCCGTCGCTCTGCTGGGGAGTTCACAGCACGCGTTTTATCAAGGCATGCCGGCTACTGTTTTGTGATAGTCCGTCAATTACAAAATATCGGTTGGTTTTCTTAAGGAATATTGCTGCCAGTATTCTTATTGCCTTTGTGTATTGCAGAATGCTTGGTTTTGCCCAAAGAACCTGGAATAATTCCTTCACTCTGTGTTATGGCAAAACATGTGTTGCCATGGTTTCTTAAAACAAAATTTCAATTAGCAGATGGAGCTACTGAGAGGAAAGTGTCTTATTGGGGTAGAAATTTAGAGCAGAATTAAGGCTAAAATAAACACATTTCAAAGTCCTACCATATAGAATTATAATGAATTACTGCCAACAGTATGGTGGTATATCAATTATTGTGTTAAACTTCTTAATTGATATATATCTCATAAAAATTAGCAAATTCGGCACCAAAGTTTAGTTTACAATATGCTTTATTTTAGTCAATACTATTTTTAACTTGGAGAATGTTGTGGACAGAGCTCGGTGATATACAGGAACTTATTAGAACTCTCTTTGGATGATCATAAACTATTGAAACATTTTGAAAATGTTAAAATGAATCAACAGAGATATCTAGATTATCACCAGAATTTAAATTACTTTTTTTTTTCTGAGACAGAGTCTCGCTCTGTTGCCCAGGCTTGAGTGAGTGCCCTGGCGTCAGCCTAGCTCACAGCAACCTCAATCTCCTGGGCTCAAGCGATCCTCCTGCCTCAGCCCCCGAGTAGCTGGGACTACAGGCATGCGCCACCATGCCCGGCTAATTTTTTCTATATATTTTAGTTGGCCAATTAATTTCTTTCTATTTTTAGTAGAGACGGGGTCTCGCTCTTGCTCAGGCTGGTTTCAAACTCCTGACCTTGAGTGATCCTCCCTCCTCAGCCTCCCAGAGTGCTAGGATTACACTCCTAGCCACCGCGCCTGGCCCCTAATTATGTTATTTTTGTGGAGTATTTTAAAGATTTAAAAATTACAACGTGAGATTTCAAGTCAGTGGTTTGTTATTATTCAAATCTGTTCCCACCAGGGTAATGTAATTCTAGAAAGGCACATGGCTATTCAGAATAAAGACTGCCTTTCCCAGCTTCCTTTGCAGCTACACATGATCACGTGCCTAATGTCACGATGCAGTTCAGATATTTCATCTTCTTGGATCCTTCCTTAAGATCCCAGGCAGCCTGTGCCCCTTGCTGTCTTCTTTATTCATTTCTCCTTCTTGCTTTCTGGAATATGGGTGCAGCTGAAGCTTCCCAGCTTGCTTTATGTGTGAGAGAAGTCAACTTCAACTGTTTCTCAGTGGAAACTACCTAGATTTTGCTTGTCACTCGCGGAGGAGCCTAATTTTAACTGGTAAATCCTTTCATGACTCTGAATGGTTTGGGGCTTTAGCTGAGCAGCTGGTGCACACGGCGGGCTCTGCAGGAAGAGCGCACTGGGTCTTGTAGTTTGCGGTGTCAGTGGTGAGACCCAGACGCCTGGTTAGTGCATACTGCCCCCACCCACCGTCTTGGGACAGCCACTAGGAATGGGGGGTGAGCATGGACGTGCGCCCAAGACTTGTGTCAGTAGCATGTAGCTCACATTTCAGGCAGTTATGTTTGGGGTCAAGATGGGTGGGCAAGAATCTGTGTCACAACGGGCCCATCTGGAAAGAGAACGTCTGCACTGGCGCAGTCCGGCGCCGTGCGCCCTGCGCTGAGAAGCAGAGCCTTTGCTTCACCGCGGCGCTGCAGCCAGACTTCAGGCACCCCAGTGAGCGCAGCGCCGTCCTCCCTGACGAGTGCTTCCCGCACTTCCCAGCTCATGCAGGGGTGGCCATTCATTTGGTGAGACGAGCCAGGAATCTAGGTGTCACCCTCGACCTCGCCTCAATGGCAGTTCTGCAGTTCACGTCCCGGCTTCCCTGGAGCCCGCCCTCTTCCGTCTGGGTTTGCACCTGGCCGGAGGCACCATGGACCACTGGCTGAGGCACTGGCCTCCTGCCAGGCTCCTCACACCAGCTCTTGTCCATCTCTGATCTGTCTCCACACTGTGCAGGTGGCCATGTCACTCCCTGCTCAGAAGCCTGCAGAGGCTTCCACTTAGGATCCAGATCCTTTGCCAAGAAAGCAAGCCTTGTGTGTCTTGTCCTGCTGATCTCTCTGGGGTCTCTCAGCTCTCCTCCCCCTGCCTCTCAGCTGTTCTGCTGCACTGGCGGTTTTCAGTTCTCCCTATGCCCCAGGGCTCCTCCTGCCACAGGGCCTTTGGCCATGCGGCCTCCTCTTCCAGGAACCCTCTTTCCCACCTTCATGGCAATCAGGTTCCAGTTCCCACATTGCTTCCTCAGGGAGCCTTCCCTGCCCTCCGGATGAGATGCAGTCCCACTGTTCTCATGCTTTCAAGGAGGGCTGAGTGCGGTCTTTTCTCTCTTTCTATTCCCAGAGCCTAGCACAGAGCCAGGCAGTTAATGGGTGTGCACAGAGATGCTAGAGAAATGCAGACTGGCCCCAGGGACTGAGATCATCATTGTCTCCCTTCATCTTCGTGGTTTCGGGAGTGAGATTAGGAGTGATGTGACTTCACTGTGCAATACCAGGTTTTAACCATGCCATGTTCTCACACTTTGTGGAACATAATTTGGTCTATCCAATTGCTGTGTGTCTACAGGTATACACATATTCTTGTCATACATAATTCTATTTTGTATCAGCATTCTACTTTATGTCAGGATTCTACTATACATAAATATTGGGGGAATCATTGGAAATGTGGATTATTATTATTGCAAGTTTAAAAATAGTTCCCCCTACCCCCATTTTGGTAGCACAGATGTCCCTATAATGACTAAATTCAGTGGTGTTATTGGAAATGCGCAAATGTAACCTGTTTGCTGGTCCACAGATACTCTTCATCGTCATCATCATCATGGTAA